TGGTGGCACATTTGACATCAGGTGGTGGCACATTTCACATCAGGTGGCACATTTCACATCAGGTGGCATATTTTACATCATGTGGCACATTTGACATCAGGTGGTGGCACATTTGACATCAGGTGGCACATTTCACATCAGGTGGCATATTTTACATCATGTGGCACATTTCACATCAGGTGGCACATTTGACATCAGGTGGTGGCACATTTGACATCAGGTGGTGGCACATTTGACATCAGGTGTGGCACATTTGACATCAGGTGGTGGCACATTTCACATCAGGTGGTGGCACATTTGACATCAGGTGGCACATTTCACATCAGGTGGCACATTTCACATCAGGTGGTGGCACATTTGACATCAGGTGGTGGCACATTTTACATCAGATGCACACTTGACATGAGGCGCACATTTTACATCGGGTGTTAATAGATTCATAATAGAATGCTATCTTTGTAGGAAAAGATGAGTAGCAACTATATCGATACCTTTGGTTTGTACCAGGTAGAAAAAGGTTGATAGCTGATGGCCAGGAAAAATTGTCAGGATTAAAAAATAATTTTCTACATCAAAAATATGTTGACCTTCTTCTTCTTTATATTAAGGGCCCACGATCAATTTATTGATCATTCTGGCTCCTATGCATGTGGAGGGGATCCAATGTTTCTGTGCCTGGTGTTGATGAGGATATTTCACTTGTTGCGGGGGCTACTTTGTGAGGGAATCATGAACTGGGTGTTGGAAGGCCTGAGGCAATAGACGCAAATGGGTCAAGTGTTGGTGCCTCAACTGTTCCTTTTGAAAAGCTTGTGCCAGTCCCTGATTGTCTTTGGCAGGAATGAGCAGTTCCTGTACTGGCTTCTTGCCGGTATGAGCCGGGGCTGCCTGTCATGACCTCGTCGCTGTCTATGAGGCAGAGGGACGAATGAGCCGGGGCTGCCTGTCATGACCTCGTCGCTGTCTATGAGGCAGAGGGACGAGTGAGCCGGGGCTGCCTGTCATGACCTCGTCGCTGTCNTCAGATATTCTGTCCGGGATCTCTGGCAGTGTGTTCTTTTGTTGTCAGATATTCTGTCCGGGATCTCTGGCAGTTTGTTCTTTTGTTGTCAGATATTCTGTCCGGGATCTCTGGCAGTGTGTTCTTTTGTTGTCAGATATTCTGTCCGGGATCTCTGGCAGTTTGTTCTTTTGTTGTCAGATATTCTGTCCGGGATCTCTGGCAGTGTGTTCTTTTGTTGTCAGATATTCTGTCCGGGATCTCTGGCAGTTTGTTCTTTTGTTGTCAGATATTCTGTCCGGGATCTCTGGCAGTGTGTTCTTTTGTTGTCAGATATTCTGTCCGGGATCTCTGGCAGTTTGTTCTTTTGTTGTCAGATATTCTGTCCGGGATCTCTGGCAGTGTGTTCTTTTGTTGTCAGATATTCTGTCCGGGATCTCTGGCAGTTTGTTCTTTTGTTGTCAGATATTCTGTCCGGGATCTCTGGCAGTGTGTTCTTTTGTTGTCAGATATTCTGTCCGGGATCTCTGGCAGTTTGTTCTTTTGTTGTCAGATATTCTGTCCGGGATCTCTGGCAGTGTGTTCTTTTGTTGTCAGATATTCTGTCCGGGATCTCTGGCAGTTTGTTCTTTTGTTGTCAGATATTCTGTCCGGGATCTCTGGCAGTGTGTTCTTTTGTTGTCAGATATTCTGTCCGGGATCTCTGGCAGTTTGTTCTTTTGTTGTCAGATATTCTGTCCGGGATCTCTGGCAGTGTGTTCTTTTGTTGTCAGATATTCTGTCCGGGATCTCTGGCAGTTTGTTCTTTTGTTGTCAGATATTCTGTCCGGGATCTCTGGCAGTGTGTTCTTTTGTTGTCAGATATTCTGTCCGGGATCTCTGGCAGTTTGTTCTTTTGTTGTCAGATATTCTGTCCGGGATCTCTGGCAGTGTGTTCTTTTGTTGTCAGATATTCTGTCCGGGATCTCTGGCAGTTTGTTCTTTTGTTGTCAGATATTCTGTCCGGGATCTCTGGCAGTGTGTTCTTTTGTTGTCAGATATTCTGTCCGGGATCTCTGGCAGTTTGTTCTTTTGTTGTCAGATATTCTGTCCGGGATCTCTGGCAGTGTGTTCTTTTGTTGTCAGATATTCTGTCCGGGATCTCTGGCAGTTTGTTCTTTTGTTGTCAGATATTCTGTCCGGGATCTCTGGCAGTGTGTTCTTTTGTTGTCAGATATTCTGTCCGGGATCTCTGGCAGTTTGTTCTTTTGTTGTCAGATATTCTGTCCGGGATCTCTGGCAGTGTGTTCTTTTGTTGTCAGATATTCTGTCCGGGATCTCTGGCAGTTTGTTCTTTTGTTGTCAGATATTCTGTCCGGGATCTCTGGCAGTTTGTTCTTTTGTTGTCAGATATTCTGTCCGGGATCTCTGGCAGTTTGTTCTTTTGTTGTCAGATATTCTGTCCGGGATCTCTGGCAGTTTGTTCTTTTGTTGTCAGATATTCTGTCCGGGATCTCTGGCAGTTTGTTCTTTTGTTGTCAGATATTCTGTCCGGGATCTCTGGCAGTTTGTTCTTTTGTTGTCAGATATTCTGTCCGGGATCTCTGGCAGTTTGTTGTTTTGTTGTCAGATATTCTATCCGGGATCTCTGGCAGTTTGTTCTTTTGTTGTATCTGGCTTTTAAAAAAATATCTGCCTTAAAATTGTATTTTAAACTCTAAAGAATGGTTACCTTGACCTTTTCAAGTGATTTCAAGTGGATTGTTCAGCTTAATGGATAACACACAGACTTATCCAGCTTTATAATGGCTATCACACAGACTTATCCAGCTTTAAAATGGCTATCACACTGACTTATCCAGCTTTATAATGACTATCACACTGACTTATCCAGGTTTATAATGACTATCACACTGACTTACCCAGCTTAATGAAGACCACACTGACTTATCCAGCTTTATAATGACTATCACACTGACTTATCCAGCTTAATGGAAACCACAATGACTTATCCAACTTAATGGAAACCACACTGACTTATCCAGCTTAATGGAAACTACAATGACTTATCCAGCTTAATGGAAACCACACTGACTTATCCAGCTTAATGGCTAGCACACAGACTTCACTTCCAAGTTGATAGCCCTCAGAAAAGCCTTAGCCAGAAACACCAGTCACTTATCTCGGTGTTAAAAACTGGATGGCAGACCATTTTCGAACAAAGTGGTAGAGACAGTGGGCAAACAATTGTACATGCAGTGGGCAGACAATGGTACAGGCAGTGGGCAGACAATGGTACAGGCAGTGAGCAGACATTGGGCAGACAATGGTACAGACAGTGGGCAGACAATGGTGCATGCAGTGGGCAGACAGTAGGAAGACAATGGTACATACAGTGGCCAGACAATGGTACAGAAGGTGGACTGACAGTAGTACATGCAGTGGGCAGACAATAGTACAGGCCATGGGCAGACATTGAACAGACAATGGTACAGGCAGTGAGAAGACATTGAACAGACAATGGTACAGGCAGTGAGAAGACATTGAACAGACAATGGTACAGGCAGTGAGAAGACATTGAACAGACAATGGTATAGGCAGTGAGAAGACATTGAACAGACAATGGTACAGGCAGTGAGAAGACATTGAACAGACAATGGTACAGGCAGTGAGAAGACATTGAACAGACAATGGTACAGGCCGTGAGAAGACATTGAACAGACAATGGTACAGGCAGTGAGCAGACATTGAACAGACAATGGTACAGGCAGTGAGAAGACATTGAACAGACAATGGTACAGGCAGTGAGAAGACATTGAACAGACAATGGTACAGGCAGTGAGAAGACATCACGAAAGCCAGAGTTGTTTTCGTTAATAAGCCGCTTCCTGGTGGAAGTTGGGTCACCGACAGCAGAGACTGGTGACGCAAATGAGACCCGATCACTGACCTACTGACGCGTAATTTCACAGGCTTGACAATAGGGACCCAACCTGTCGGCATTGCAGCCTGGTCCCAGAAACTCTAGCGCATCTGCTGACTGATCCCCAGCACAAGATGTTGCGGGGGGAGACCAGGGTGGCTTTTTGACAATGTTATATGGTACAGTCCAACAGATGGAGCTGGTTGTCAATGTATTGGCCGGGGCTTTCGGGGAGTAAGCTCAAGCCTCAACCATGATATGTAAGTTAGTCATGCACCTTGCAAAAACCAAAACAAAGAATTGAAATCCATCCGAAAGTGGCTCAAATTAACTTTGGCCTTTTACTTTTTAAGAGATTTTTTCTTAAACAGATGTTCGATGCATTAAATGTGGTTTCTTCTGGCTTGCTCCATCCTAAATAACTATTCAAACGTTGTTACCCACTAACATCGATATCTCTCCATCATTGATATCAACCCGATTACTTAGATCTACTATCATAACCATCTCTGAAATCTCCACAGCCATTGGATCAACACCATCGCCGGGTCACATGAGAACCGTTTGAACCGGCCTGTCATGAATCCTGACCCAAGAAACAGCTCCTGCTCCAATTACCTGAACTTTCGCAGCATCGAACAGAACTCGCTGGACAGCCCCGTCTGGTACCTGGACATGTTTGGCTTCACGTCGAACGTCAGATTCTGGGACCGCAAGGGGGCCTGCCTGAAGGCGTTCTTGGACTTGTCCTTTGTGAACTGGTCAAGGCTTGAGTCGGCAGGGCGCTTCACTTTGAGGCTCACGGTGACGCTCCTGGACACCGAGGGCGTGGCCCCGGACCGTTTGCTGGGGGAGAAGCTCTACAAATATGACGGGGATAGAAAGGCGATTGACGAGTGGTCGAGAGCCTTGTTGACAGTGAAACTGAAGCCAAAAGAGATGAAAGAACTTGGTCTCCCGGTAGACTTCCACACTTTGGCTATCAGATACGACGCGGCAATAGTTTATTAACCTTTTTTAAAAAAATATTATAAAAGGCTGAATATGTTATTGTTAGTGCTTTCCTTTGAAATCGATCAGAACCATTTTGATAATCGGATTCGCACTGGTGCTGATTCTGGCTATGAGTGCGTATATATATAAGAATGAGCTAGGTTCACATAACGCCAAAAGGGAGAACTTTTTTAAGTACGTTCGGATTCCTAAAAACAATCATAGTTATGTTCTATTATTTTACGGAAATCGAATAAATTTAAATGTGCAAAAAAATATTTTAAATCCGATTTTATTTTAGTAGAGGTTTAAATATTATTATTATAAATTAATAATACATTTAAAGTATCAACTAAGGAACTATTTTAAGCACTTTATATGTGTTTGAAAGTTATATAAAAAAAATCATGCTTAAAGAATTACACCGTAATCACATTTATCGGGAAAACCCAGACATCAGTAGTTTTTAGTGCGTCTTTTAGTGCGTTCTTAATATTGCGAAATAAAAATTTAAAATAATTTGTTCTCAATAATCACGCCAATGACGTCATAGCGGGAATAGCCCATTTTGCTAAAACTCTTAGGTTTCTTTAAATTTAATAACCGTGCTTGACAAAACTGATAATTTATTTTCCCTTTTAAAAGTAAACTTAAGAAATACAATTGATTGCTTTTTGAATTGTTAATAAAACACACACACAGTTTAGCTTTGAATATTTTAACATTTAAAAAGTTTTGCCTCTTTTATTCCAAAAATATACTTTAATTAAAATTATAACGTAATAAATTCTAACCATTAAATATAATTCTAATAAGAAAATGCAGATTAAGCCAATCAGTGCAGCGCACTTCCATAGCCAAATAGCATTCACTAATCCACTTATAACTCATACAAATAAGAACGAACCATATGAAGTGCATGTTAGTATGGGTATGGAAAGGACTACAATCCGGTGAAAGATTTTCTAAATTTATTTAAATCTGGGTGGGGAGGGGTTGGTCACTTTTCCCCAGGCAGCACAAGATACGTCTCAAAATAAAGGAATGAATTGGATAAATAATTAATCCTCTTTGGTAAATACATATATCGGAGGTAGGATATAGGATGTGTACATTTTTACGAGGATGACAATATCATTAAATCCTATGGTATTACATGTGTGCAAAAAGGTGTGCCACTTTCTCTTTTTACAAATATTTATATGTTCATTTTGCTCAAGGCTGCACAAGATACGTTTTAAAATAAAGGAATGAATTTGATTAATAATTAACCTTCTTGGGTACATGCATATCTAAGGTAGGTAATGGGATCTGAATATTTTCACGTGCATGACAGTATAGTTAACTCCTATGTTATTACATTTGTGAAAAAAGAGATTCCACATCATTCTTTTTGTAGAAATATTTATTAATATGTATATGTTCATTTTGCTCAAGGCAGCACAAGATACGTCTCAAAATAAAGGAGTGAATTTGATAAAATAATTAACCTTCTTGGGTACATTCATATCGGAGGTAGGTAATAGGATGTGTACATTTTCACGTGGATGAAAATATATTTAAATCCTATGGTATTACATTTGTGAAAAAAGGTATGTTGCATTCTCTTTTTACAAATATGTGTATGTTCAATGTGCCCAAGACAGCACAAGATACGTCTTGTTTGTTGATGTTTTACTGTAGAACATGGATTCTCACGTTTTTTTCCCCACCATCGCCCAACGGGGCAACCCCCCCCCAAAAAAAAAAAAATAAAAAAAAATTTAAAAAAATAATTTAAAAAAAAAGAAAAAATTTCCAAAACACCCCCCTTTTTTTAAACATCACCTCCCCCACCCTGACTACATCTATGAAAGCTATTGCAAGAATGACATTTAAATCTGTAGCATACATTTGAACAGAATAATTTATAAACATTCTGCTTGTAAAAATTCCATAAATAATCTTTATCAACTTTAACGAGCAGTAACTAAAGTAAGGTTATAATTTAAGAACTGGTCAGTTATTCTTCGTGTGATGGAGGCACGTGACATGTGAAATCAGTTTTTGTAATGCCCGGGTTTAAGCGCATTAGCAGAAACTTCACTGTTATTGTTCGTATTGAAACCGGTGCGACATAATAGCAAGGCCGTGAACAAAACAAGTAAACAGCACAATATAAGCACCTTCCACCAACTTAAAATGCTTAGAAATGATCGAAGTGTCGAGGAGAAAAAGTACTAATGTTACAATTTTTTTTTTTTAAATGAGTTTACACCGGCATTATATTTGATTATTTCCCCTGAAACATTCCTGTAAATATCAATCATTTTGAAAAATACCGGTGTACATAAGTGTTTGATTTAGAAAAATCCCGAGCAGCTTCTAATGTATTTAATATGAATTAACCAACATTTAAAATCATTTTTCTCTGAACTGCAAAATTAAACTAAAGAACTTTTCTACTTGGCTCTTCCTTATATATAATATATATCACGCGTGGGGTGTGGCTGATTCCAATTCCCCCCCCCCAAAAAAAAAAAACAAAAAACAAAAAAAAACGACTAGCAACCACACATTTATTTCACGTCCCTGAACTATATTAATATTCTATCGATCCACCCGCTATTATTAGCCTAGCTATATAAATGTTTTAAAAATACATAAACCTGACTTAATATATCAAAGATGCGTCAAATTCATCAGCAGTTTATAATAGACTTTCCTGAAGCCTCGCGATGTCAGGTCTTTGTCTTTGAGATTCACAAGAAGGAAACTCTGCGCCCAATCTTCAATCACTTGATTGTTGCCATCGAAGTGGAATTTCTTTTCCTCGACCAACCAATCCGGGGCCTCCCTCCTAACGTCTTTAAGAGTGATGGAAAAGTTCAGGCTTAGCTTCTGGACTGTGTTCAGTTTGCCCCCAGTCGACGTGGGGACAAGTTTGAGAAGACTTTGAAGCACAGACCGTTGCGGTCCCTGAACCTGACGCACGAGGTGAACCCGAACATGCCCGAACATGCCCAGGTACCAGATGGGGCTGGTCATCGTGTCGCCCAGGACTTCGGATAATTTCCTGTAATAAGTGCAGCTCTTCCCCTTCTGAGTGGTGTCGAGATTAATGACTTGTGATTCACTAATGTAGACGGGTATAAAATGTGAAAAATAAAGGACGAATAAATATCAAAATAATTGATGTGTATTATACTATTGTCTAGTCTAATTTTTGCTTTCAAATTCAATCTAGATTGAGTTACTGCTTAAATGAATAACTGTGACAACTGTTGACAATTAACGATTCTACTATTAAAGTAATTTTAATAATGTGATAGTTCTTTTAATTATTTTAATACAGTTTAATGGTGAAGTGTATTTTAGATTAAAGTTTAATTAGGTGTTCATTTTTTTTTTATTTTGTTGAAAAGTGTCACTTACTTTTTTTGGGGGGGGGGGGGGCGGGGTCCAAGATTTGTGACGGAGGGGTTAAAATGGTCAAAAATAGCGTGATGTACTTTATGGACGGTCCCTTACATATATAATAATAAAACTAAATATAATATATTTTCTTGTATTGTAAGACAAAATGAGGTATAAAATGAAAGATAATTGAATGGACTATATGTTTGTAAACTTACTTCTTCAGTTTAACTAAAATAAACTCCCACAAAAGAAATCGCAAAATTATTATTATTTTTTTTTTTTTAAATAAAAACATAAAATTGTATGTTCTATTTTTAAAAATTGATTTTTATTCATAGGAAGACTGAAGTTTAGATACAAAAGTTCATGTGAATAATTAATTAACGGAAATTAAAATGTTACATTTTTTTGTTAATAATTACTTGCAGTTCACACGGACAAATTTTCCTTCAAGTATTTGATGCAATTTGTGTATAAAGCCTTGTATGAAGCCTTGTCACAACTTTCAAATAATCATTTGATCAAACTTCGATGGCATGCAATTTATTTTAGTATTATTGCGCAACCTCCATATCACTTGATCAAACACTAAAAATAAAAAGAAATTCATCAATCTAGGTTGTGTTTAGATTGACTACGTTAAGTTATCAAAACAACAACACAGCCTCCAAATAAGAATTATTTACTTCATTTAGAAAAAACATATAATAGATAAGGACTACTAGCCTAGTTTCTTCTTTCTTCTACGGCTAGCATCTGAGACTTTTTTTATAAGTTTTTCTATCTAGGCCAGCAATGAAGACATTTTTTTTTAAGCGATTACTATGTCTAAACTAAGTGGCTCACTCTGGGAATTCTACTCCACACAACTAACTTGAATGCCGACTGGCATCTTTTTGTTTTATTTTAGTACTAAGTAATAGAAACATTAATAATTAATAACATTAAGGCTTCTTTGACTAACTCCGCTCAGGACAATATTTCTTTTCAGCTACAGGCTCCAGCTCAGGTCCGACAAAATTAAAAGGAGTAAAGGGATGTTGAGCGTTTAAAGAAAATGTTCATTGTTATTCACCCGTCTAAATATAACTAACAAGGCACTAGAAATGCATGTAAGGGTAACATAGATAATAACAGGTAGAAGAGTCTGGCAATATAGCTGTAGAATAATATGTCATATAGGACACTTTTTCCCATTGCGTGAACTTTGCTTGACCCCAAATTAGATTCCTAGCACACGCTACGTTCATAGATGGGCGTGGCTTAGTCTTTGATTTATCATGTTTACTACCGACTACCAATTAAACATGGTTAGTATGTCTCCTAGAATCTTGTCGAACATTCGTGATTTGTTCTAGAAACGTAAACAAATGCTGAGTAGTTTCTGGAAGGCAGGGCTTACGCTGCATATATAAAGGAATTGACAGAGACAGAGATAGACGAAGATTGATAGAGAGATTCGGAGAGTTTGATATATATATTTTTAACTTCATGGTTTGTGTACGCATATGTGTTTATTCGCATTCATCATTATTAATTGGCACATTGTGCTAATAGTGTACCGGTATCATATTTTCTCATACTCTGTAAGTTGATGATTTTTAATTATATTTCATTTGTTTTATAATTGTATTATTACTAAATTAAATTTTATTAATTGTAATTGTTACTGTTTTCGGTGTCGTATTTTTGTTATTGTTTTTCTCTATGGTATCGTCCTTTGTTGTGCACTGTTTGAACTAGTCACAACTTAAAACAAGAGATTAATTTCTCACAATAGAAGTCAGTGCGTAACAAATAACATGGCATAAATTTTCATAAATTAATTGTTAAAAGTAAAAACTATACTTTTAGTATTTCATTTTGTATCCATTAACATTTAAAATTGGATCTCGCATCAGTGAGAAATTTTACCTGGCAAGGAAAATATTGCTCCAGAGCAGTAAGTCCCTAATTATAAATAACTATTAGAAATTAAACTTTCCAAAATTAACCCCCCCCCCCCCCCACAAACAGTGCTATCAAGTGTCATAGCAAATGATGGATGCCCCATAATGAAATTAAAATTAAATTGTTCAACTATTTCATTATTAAATTTACTTATTTTACTTTAGGTCAATTATTAAATTGTTTTTCTGGGGCGACCCCTTAGATCTAATTTTTAATTTTAATAATTTTCACAGAAAAACATAAAACTTAGTCGACTTCATATTATTATTATAAATATTATAGACCTCTATTTTTCTTCTTTTGAGGAATATTGAACCATGTGACTTTAAATACAATACAGATTTAAATAGGCACCCTTCAATTGAGATAGAATCACAGTAAATAGCTTTCATTTCTGAAGGATACTGTTACATTCTACAAGTAGCCTCTAGTTAAGTTCTACCCCACATTCATAAATAAAAGTCAATTAAGAAGAAAAAAAAAAAATCAATATTATTTTTGAACCATTTAAATGGTAATTTGAAGTATGGTTTGCAAAGTTTTGAGATAGTTAGAAAGGAGAATTTTCAGTAGTTGCTTTTCTGTCTGATAACTGCATGAGCCATTAACTATTACTTTCTATGCCTTTTAGTCTCTAGATGTCTTCTCCAGCTCTATCAAATCTTTATAACCTGGTACATTTTTGTCAACATTCTTTACCAAGGGAAATCATTTCTAAATTATGCATTAAAATTTATAGTACTCTCATTTGTAGTGCTCTGCAATAGATTTTAAAATTATATTGAGTACAATTATCTATACATTTATAATTTATATACTGGTACTATAACTTAAATTCTGCGCTAAAATAATTTAAAATAATTTAGTCCAATCATAGATTTCACAAAAACTCTGAAATAAAACTGTTAATATTTTATTAAAAATAAGCAGTGCTGAATGAAGTCATCAAGAAGCACTACCATTAGTAGTAGTCTTTCAATATTTTAAAATTGGAAGTGAAGGATGTCTCAATCATCTTTGACTATAAAGATTCTGTCATTTCATTTTCTTTCAAGTTATGGGATAATGCTTGTCATTGTTGAGTTTAATCATTTCTGAAAGAAACAAAAAAAAAAAAAGGAAAATATTTTATTTATTACCCATACAAATATTTTTAAAAATATATACATTATAAAGGTAAGATCAAACAACCACTCATTTTAAAGTGTATATGTTTATATTTATATTTACAAGTTATCATACATAACATATAGTTGTTAGATCAATAATGCAGACAATAAAGTAATTGAAATCTGGAATTTTCTCATTTATTCAAGCTTTTAGTGGAAAGAGTATGACTAATCAAAAGCCTACCAGATTTGTATCATAGGTTTTCAATAATAAATTATAATAATTATATTTTTCTATGTTAAATTGATGCTGTTGCTACGTTTTTTGAGTGGAAATGTGCCTGATGGATTAGTTTAATAGAAGTAAAGGTGGGTGGCAAAGTGCCCATTTGCACCATTTTAGGGTGGTCACACCCAAAGTGGGGAAACTCTTATAACAACTTTAAAAATAATAAGGACTCAATTTCATCATTAAAATTTCAATAATGTTTTTTCAGCTTAACATTTTGTATATTTTTAGCAGAAAAATAGTTATTATAGTTATTTATGATTACATAAAAATAAAATTGTATTAAATTGTTATCAATGGAGAACAAATATTGCAATGAGATTTTAATGTAATACTAACATAAGACATGTCATTAATATTTAAGAACTTTACATATTTTTACTTAAGCAACTGGCTACAATTGTCAGAATAATTATAATTTTAAAGTATCTTTGTGTATACATTAATAATATATTAAAATATAATATATAACATTAAAAGAATTATGGTAGTTCCAAAAAAACAATTAAGTTTCGACATTTAATATAACCCATTTTTTGCCTGTGAATATTGTGAATATGAATCACACTTTATTAGAAGTAGACTGGTGAAAAATTATTGTTGGATGTATTATTACTATTAGGCTGGTGAACATTTATTTTTTGATCCATTATTTTCCGTAAATATTAGTATACTGTAATTCAATGTTCCCTTTAAGCTGCGCAGCCGCGAAGCTATCACACATACACCGCGCAGCAGTTTTGAGGATCCGCGCAGCAAATTTCCAGTTAAGTGTGTGTTTGTGGGCTGTAAAATGTTGCAAACAAAGAAATGGAACCAATAAACCTTAGAGGGAACATTGCTGTTATCATCTAATTTTTTCTTCATTATCAATAATAAAAGGGCATATTTATTAGTATGGTAATATCTGTATGGGCTACGTTCAAATTTTTGTAAAACAGAGTAGTTTGCCCTTTGAAAACGCCCACTTTTTCTGAATGGGTTGGTTCCGGTTTCCAACAGTGTGGCTTTATGTTGTCTAACTCTTAGTTTAGTTACAAAAGTTGCATATGCTATCTTACTAATTAGGCCAGTTATAAATGTATAACTATGGAATAGGCATATATTACCATTAATACCACAGTTCTTTTGTTTCCCCATTTTACTAGACTTCGTCAATTATGATTTAATGTGTCTATTTTAGACTAAAATAACTGTTGTTAGTGTTACTAAGTCGGTACACAAACACAAAGAAAACAAATATGACTGGTAACAAAAATTATTGTATTGTGTGCTCCAATTACGCTGGTAAAATCGTTGAAGGTAGAAAAGTTACTATGCATCGAATCCCTAGAGCAAAAACA